TGATTGTTGTTGTACTTACATCTGTTGGTTCCCTTGAACGTTTGTGAATGTACACCAATATCCTGTGTAGCTTTTTTTGGGGGGTCACTGGAGATTATGATTGAAGTTTACTGTATGTGAAAACTTCTTAAATAAGAAGAATGAGTTTGTATGAGTTTGTGCATATTTCTATCTCCTGCTGTGTCAGTGGTAAATAAAAAGTAATACTGAAAACCAGAAGTTATTTGACAATACCATCATACAACAGACATCCACCACTTTCCCCTATTATATGCTTGTAAATTATACGAAACATGCACTCAAATATGCAAGGGAAACTGAACTCAGTAACACTGTAAGCTAGTGTGAAGTGTCTGTAATACTGCAGTGAAAGAATCAAGAGAATATCTTGTTGGGTACACGAGAAACTGCAAGTTAAAACACTTGTGACAGTAGCTGGAAACTGCAGAGCTCAGGGAATGTTATGCCTACATTTGATGACGTCACAACCTGGTGGTCAGGCCTTCCATATAGGGGGTGGTGCCCCTGCTCCCAGCAGCCCTCAGTTGGGCCACGAGGAGCAAGAAGCAGCCAGGTAAGTTGCAGAGGGGGCCCCCTCCCGCCTTCAGGTACAAGGTCTCCCCCCTCTGTGAGGACAGATCTGCACATTCCCACCCCCCATAGCTAGCAATCCAAAACAGTCCAGAGGCACCTTTAGGACCAAGTTTTATTCAGGTATCAGCTCTCCCTCCTCTGTGAGGACAGATCTGCACGGTCCACACACCCACCCCTAGCTAGCAATCCAAAACAGTCCAGAGGCACCTTTAAGACCAAGTTTTATTCAGGTATCAGCTCTCCCTCCTCTGTGAGGACAGATCTGCACGGTCCACACACACACCCATAGCTAGCAATCCAAAACAGTCCAGTGGCATCTTTAAGACCAGGTTTTATTCAGGTATAAGCTCTCCCTCCTCTGCGAGGACAGATCTGCACGTCCCCCCCCCCCGTGGGTGTTGCCTTCTGACACACTTCCGGTGATGTCAGGGGGTGTGGCATATGCAAATAAGGTATGCTAATGAGGAACTGGGGAAGCAGGAACTCAGGAGAGCCAGCCAGAGAGAAAAGTCTGGTAGGCAGCTGCTGGACTCTCTTTTGTGAAGATTTCCATCGGTCTCTATGGATCAGTTTCCAGGCTTGGGCACCCAAGGGGGAAATCAGGGAGCTTCTGCCAATGCAGAGACCACCCCCTCCCAGAGCGGCTTTCTGAGCCAAATGTCAGTTGTGAGCAATGTTCCCTCTAAGCCATGGAGTCTTGTGAGCAAAAATTCTACTTTGTGAGCTACTGGCATTAAAGTTGTGAGTGAGTGGTTTGGCTACAGCAGGGGTCCTCAAACTTTTTAAACAGGGGGCCAGTTCACTGTCCCTCAGACCGTTGGAGGGCCGGACTATAGTTTAAAAAGAAACTATGAACAAATTCCTATGCACACTGCACATATCTGCAGTTTGGCGCCCCTGAGGGCCAGCGCGCCCTAGGCGAGCTGGCCCTGCCGGCGGGCCGGATAAATGTTTTCAGCGGGCCGCATGTGGCCCGCGGGCCGTAGTTTGAGGACCCCTGGGCTACAGCATAAATTAGTTCGCTCTGGAGCCCTCCTTTCTGAGCCAAGGCAAAAATCTGTGAGCCGGAGGCTAAAAAACTGTGAGCTAGCTCACACTAACTCAGCTTAGAGGGAACACTGGCTGTGAGTCATGCAAAGCTGTGAACAAAACTGTCTCAGAGCAGATGCTGGGGAACAGATCCCCAATCCAGGGGCAAACTGGCCCTTTAACTTTCTGGGGAAACCCGGGGGGGGGGCTGAGCCCCGGCCGCTCTGGGAGGATCACAGGAGCTGGGTTTGGCTCAGGATGCTCCTGTGCAGTTTTCGAATTCACGTCTTGCCCTAATCTCTCAGGGACCAGCGGATACACACCTGGGACCTGGAGAAGAGTCTCCTGGGATCAAGAGGGTTCAAGGTCTAAGCCCTGCCTTCCAGCTAGTCCAAAATTAAGACAGACGCTTTCCCTTGCCTTTCTGGGAAGTGACTCGCAGTTCCCACGGCTGGCCTGCCTTCAGCCGCAAAGCAAAGAATGATATTTCACTACTGCTGTTGTAAATGACTCAAAGGCAAGTGTGGACAATCACAACCTAATCAGAGAACAAATGTAAAGAAAACCGTCGTGAGAGTCCGACCCACAGATCGGGCAGTCAGCAAGACTTGCAGAGAAGATGCTTTCTGTATATGATGGTCAACAAGCACTCTAGATAAGCATATGGAGCAGAGGTCCATCAGTGGGTATTAGCCACAAGGTATAGATAGGGACTCTGGGGCAAGTGATGCTCTGTCATCTTGGTGCTTGGGGGGGTCAACAGTGGGAGGGCTTCTCATGTCCTGGCCCCACTGGTGGACCTCCTGATGGCCCCTGGTATTTCTGGCCCCTGTGTGATATAGAGTGTTGGGCTGGATGGGCCTTTGGCCTGATCCAACATTGGCTTCTCTTATGTTCTTATATGGAACAGAGGTCCATCAGCGGCTATTAGCCACAAAGTATTGGTAGGAATTCTCAGTCTGGGGCAAGGGATGCTCTGTATTCTTGGTGCTTGGAGGGGGAGGGCAACAGTGGGAAGGCTTCTAGTGTCCTGGCCCCACTGCTGGACCTCCTGATGATGTCCCCTGGTATTTCTGGCCACTGTGTGATACAGAGTGTTGGACTGGATGGGCCTTTGGCCTGATCCAACATTGGCATCTCTTATGTTCTTATGTACCACACAATAAACAAATTCCTTCAAATCATAAGAAAACCCTAGTGTGAAAATACCTAATCCGCGTCGTCTCTGGATTATCTAACGTTTCAAAATTGGATCTTCCTCAGGAAATATTAGGTAAAGGTAAAGGTTTCCCTTGCTCGAAAGCCAGTCAAATCCGACTCTATGGGGCGGTGCTCATGTCCGTTTCCAAGACGAAGAGCCAGCGCTGTCCAAAGACATTTCCGTGGTCATGTGGCCGGCATGACTAGACGCCGAGGCGCACGGAACTCTGTTACCTTCCCACTAAAGTGGTACTTATTTATCTACTTGCAATTTCTTGCTTTCGAACTGCTAGGTTGGCAGAAGCTGGGACCAGAGATGGGCGCTCACTCCATCATGTGGCACTCGGGTCTTGACCTACTGGACTACCGACCTTCTGATCTGCAACTCAGTGTCTTAATAGGTATTCAGGCTCAAATATGCGTCTGGGATCCATTAGAGGCTTAGCAGCATTTTTGAGCCTGAATACTTATTGAGATCAGTGTCCTATCTGAATGTATTATCTTTCCTGATTTTTTGTAAAGCACTTTATGAGCAAGAGAGCTTTTGTACGCCTCTAATATCTCCTGAGGAAGATGTATTTCTACACTAGGATTTTCTTATGATTTGAAGGAATTTGTTCATTGTGTTGTAGTGCTTGTTGACCATCATATACAGAAAGCATCTTCTTTGCAAGTCTTGTTGACTGCCTGATTTGTGGGTCAGACTCTCACGACTGTTTTCTTTACATTCGTAAATGACTCAAAGGCGTCTCTCTGCCACTGGGCTGGAACCGGGGTATCTGAAGGACTGTTTTTCCCCATATGTTCCAGCCCAGGAATTAAGATGACAAGCAGAGGCCCCCCTGACTCTCCCACCAATCAAAGAAGCTTATTTGGTGGGTCCATGAGACAGGGCCTTTTTGGTGGCAGCCCCATGATTATGAAACAACCTCCCCAAGGAGGGGCCCTGGACCTTCCCTTTCAGTCTTTAGGAGACAGAATCATAGAGCTGGAAGGGGCCATACAGGCCTAGTCCAACCCCCTGCCCAATGCAGGACCAGCCTCAAGCATCTCTGACAAATATCCGTCCAGCCTCTTCTTGAAAGCTGTCAGTGAAGGGGGGCTCACCACCTCCCTAGGCAGCTGATTCCACCTCTGAACCAGTCTGGCCATGAAAAAGTTCTTCCTACTATCCAGTCGATACCTTTCTGCATGTCATTTAAACCCGTTGCTTCGGGTCCTCTCCTCTGCTGCCAACTGGAACAGCTCCTTGCCCTCCTCCTCCAAATGACAGCCCTTCAAATATTGAAAGAGAGCGATCATGTCCCCCCTCAGTCTCCTCTTCTCCAGACTAAACATTCCCAAGGCCCTCAGCCTTTCCTCGTAGGGCTCGGTCTCCAGACCCCCGATCATCCTCGTCGCTCTCCTCTGCACCCTCTCGATTTTGCCCACATCCTTTTTGAAGTGAGGCCCCTAGAACTGTACACAGTACTCCAGGTGTGGCCTGACCAAGGCAGTCTACAGAGGGGCTACGGCCTCCTGCGATTTCGATGCTATGACAGTTGAAGACAGTTGTATTTAGGACCACCTTTGGCTAAGTCTACTAGCAGCCCTGAGTTCTGATTTTAAATTTTGCTTTTTTAATGTTTTTAATGTATTTTATTTTATGTATTTTATCTATGTTTGTCCACAGGGAAGAGAGGCAGCTAGGAAATGTTTTTAAATAAATATCTTAAATAAATATACGTGAAACATGCAGGGTGTGTGCTGCAGCACCTGCTAAACCCTTCCGCCTTCTGTTTGGCACCAAGAGCATAGCAAGAAGGCCAGGTCTTGGAAGCTACAATTCAGTTGGTCTCTTCCTCCAAAAGCCTTCCTTAAAGGGTGGGGGGAGTGTTATGTATTGGGACTGCATCATCCCTGATTGAATCACCCCAGAGACTGGCTGAGCTTGGAGCACAAGAACAATAGCTGACCAGGACTCTGGAATAAACCAATCAAGTAGTAATGTTATGTAAATAGCCTATCACGGGGAGTGGGCATGTGTGTGGGGGGGTGTGGTGTTTTGCATGCATATAAGCAGGGCTCCGGCCCTGCTAGAGTTGTCTTAGCAGGGGCGGATTAAGGCTCACTGGTGCCCTAAGCACTGACCAATCTTGGTGCCCCCAATCTTGGTGCCATAGCCTATGACACTGCACCTCGCCAGCAAAAAATAGAAGATAACTCTAGGGTGCACCATGATCAATGTTCCCTCTAAGCTGCGGAGTCTTGTGAGCAAGAATTCTACTTTGTGAGCTAAAGGCCTTAATGTTGTGAGCGAGCGATTTGGCTATTGCATACATTAGTTTGCTCTGGAGCCCTCCTTGCTGAGCCAAGACATAAATGTGTGAGCCAGAGGCTAAAAAACTGTGAGCTGGCTCACACTAACTCAGCTTAGAGGGAACACTGACCATGATCAATGTGCACTCGCTTTATCGGGGTTCTTTTTTTACAAATCTTCATTCTTTTTTTTTTCCTTTTCACCCTTTTCCCAACTTTGTGGTGCCCCCTTTGGCCCTGGTGCCCTAAGCACGGGCTTAGTCTGCTTCATGGTTCATCCACCCCTGTGCCGTAGAGTTAAACTGAAATCACTAATAAACTATGAGCTGATCACTATACATGTCTCGAACCCAGTATATTTCACTATTTCAGGGAGGTCAAAGCCAAAGGGCACCGGAGGCATCCGACACACACCAGGATGTTGGCAGCAAACCCACCTTGGTCTGCCAGCCGGGCAGATGGACTCGGGTTCGAAGCCGGAGGAGGTGGCCTGGCGCTTGCCGCTTGGACAGAATTGGCCCGTCTGACACCTAAACAAGGGGAGAAGGCAAAGCGAATCAGAGAAGGTCAGACTCACAGCTCCCCAGATGTTGTTGTTGTTCAGTTGCAAAGTCGAGTCCGTCTCTTTGCGACCCCACGGACCACATCTCGCCAAGCCCTCCTGTCCTATCCCCAGAGAGAGCAAACCAAATTATACCACAAGGAGGCAGCGGAGAGCATTTGGGGGAGTCTTTTCAGCAGACCCGTGGCAAACCGTCCGTGTGGGGTGGGAGGGGGGGATGCAGTGCTTCATTCCCAGAAAAATAGATGCAGGAAGTTCAAGTCTCAAAACCAAAATAGGACCCACGGTAAGTAGGAAATACCAAAAATCAGCAAATACCATGCTACAGACGATTACAAAGTATCTCAAGTAATGTATATATAGTTTTTCGTTTTTATATTATTTTTTCTATATTTCTTATAAATTGTTCACTGGCCCCGCCTACCCCTTTATGAATACCAGTCCTCCTTCATTGTACAAAAGTTTTAAGAGGGAGGACTCCTTTAAGTCTATTCTGAATTGGTGCTCAGTCTTCCTCCTGTTGGAGGAAAATAATATAAAAAATATATATACAAAAATTACTTTAGATAAGAACATAAGAGACGCCAATGTTGGATCAGGCCAAAGGCCCATCCAGTCCAACGCTCTGTGTGACACAGTGGCCAGAAATACCAGGTGCCATCAGGAGGTCCACGGGTGGGGCCAGGACATTAGAAGCCCTCCCACTGTTGCTCCCCCCCCCCCAAGCACCAAGGTGACAGAGCATCACTTGCCCCAGAGTACTTATCTATACCTTGTGGCTAATAGCCACTGATGGACCTCTGCTCCATATGCTTATCTAATTCCCTTTTGAAGCCATCCATGCTTGTAGCCGATCTCATCCAATTTTGAAAGCTAAGCAGGGTCGGCCCTGGTTAGAACTTAGATCTGGTTAGAACCTGGTTAGAACCAAGGAAGTCTAGGGTTGCTACGCAGACGCAGGCAGCGGCCAGGCACCTCTGTTCATCTCTTGGCTTGAAAACGATGGACCTCTGCTCCATATGCTTATCTAATTCCCTTTTGATACTTTGCAATTGTCTGTAGCACGGTATTTGCTGATTTTTGGAAGTTCAGGGCTAGCCAGACACTCTCCCCTTCTGCTCTTGAAATTCTTTGCCGTGTTCCCGGACGCACGGGGCATTTCTGGGGCTTCTTATTGCTCGCGGGCGTGAGGAAGGCAGTCTCTCCACTGACACTCCCTGGCACTCCATCACATTCCTTAATCAGACACTTCCAGAGTCCTACAAGCCCCAGGAACTGACATTTTAGGACAACCAAGGGACTGGGGAATAAACCAGGGGAAAGGGGCTTCCCCACTCCTCAGAGACAGCCTGCGCTCAGTCTCAAAAAGGGGGAGGAACTCAAAAAGTTCCACGGACAAGGAGGAACCGGAAGGCCGCGAGTCAACCAGCACCTGGCAGGTATTCTGCAAGCAAGCCAGTTCCAAAAAGTCCACCCAGGGAATACACTTTGCACCTACTCAGGAGAACTCTAAGACACTCTTCCTCCGCAAGTCTCAGGGTCTGGCCTTGGCACTGAAAACAGGCACTGGGCTAGTAAAAGTGTTAGAAGGGGGGGGGGGAGACTTCTCCTTTGGGGCTGCAGGGGAAAGCCCTCTCCTCAGCATGGTGTAGCAGTTAAGAGTGGCAGCCTCTAACCTGGAGAACCGAGATCGATTCCCCCCTCCTCCTCCACATGAAACCTGCTGGGTGACCTTGGGCCAGTCACTGTTCTCTCAGAACTCTCTCAGCCCCACCTGCCTCACAAGGTGCCTGTTGAGAGCCAGTTTGGTATAGTGGTTAAGTACACGGACTCTAATCTGGGAGAACCGGGTTTGATTCCCCACTCCTCCACTTGCACCTGGCTGTCTGACCTTGGGCAAGCCATAGTTCTCTCAGAGCTGTTCTTGAAAAAGAGCTGTTTCTGTCAGAGCTCTCTCAGCCCCACCTACCTCACAGGGTGTCTGTTGTGGGGAGGGGAAGGGAAAGGAGTTTGTAAGCCGCTCTGAGACACCTTTGGGTAGTGAAGGGCCATGGGGTATAAATCCAATATCTTCTCTCTTCAATTTCTTCTTCTTCTTCTTGAGGGGAGAGGAAGGGAAGGCGACTGTCAGCCGCTTTGAGACTCCTTAGGGCCAAGAAAAACAGCCAACTCTTCCTCTTCTCACTGGCCAGAGGGGCTCAAAATTGGGAAACGAGCAGAGATTTTTGCCACACCCTCCAGCACAGAAGCCCCACCCCTTCATCCTAACTGCCTGGTTGCAGTCACCTGATGACAAAACACTCTGCACATGGTCAGAGGCATGCCCAGAGCTGCTCTTGCTTTGCACATGCCGGAGCATCCAAAGGCAAGCTCCAGGGCACCCCATTAAGCCCCGGGGCCTTAGAATCCAGCTGCGATTGGCCGGTTTTAATCCTGACAGACTCAGAGGCAGTACAAAAACCATCTCTTCCCATTAAATAATGCATCTAGGTCAGGTATATATAGGATGAAAGGAATACTGATGTGGCTGTTCGGTGGGAAACCAGGACGCAGAGGGAAGCGGCTGGAGAGACAGGAGAGGCGCCTTCTGACAAACGGCTTCCCGTGTGGTTTTAATCACAAGCGCCCCCCCCCCTCCCAAAAGTCCCAGCACCGTCTCTGACTGAGACCAGACGCAGGGTCAAGTGCCCACCTCTCCGGGGCCACATTGGGAGACACCTCCGGCTGTGCCCCAGGCAAGGCACCTGCCGGACGCCCGCCTCCCACAAGATGCAGCCCAAAGGTGCTGAAAACCACGCTCGCCAGGGTTGGGGGGGGGGGTGTGCACTTTGCACAGGTCCTGAGCGATGCTCCCTCTAAGCTGTGGAGTCCTGTGAGCAAAAATTCTACTTTGTGAGCTGCTGGCGTCAAGTTGTGAGCGAGCGATCTGGCTGCTGCATACTTTAAGAGATAAAAAGTGAGCCAGTCTGGTGTAGTGGTTAAGTGCGCAGACTCTAGTCTAGGAGAACCGGGTTTGATTCCCCACTCCTCCACTCGCAGCTGCTGGATGACCTTGGGCAAGCCGTAGTTCTGATAAGAGTGGTCCTTGAAAAAAGAGCCGTTTCTGTCAGAGCTCTCTCAGCCCCACCTACCTCACAGGGTGTCTGTTGTGGGGAGGGGAAGGAAAAAGAGTTTGTAAGCCCCTCTGAGACTCCTTTGGGTAGTGAAGGGTTAGGGTTAAATCCAATCTCTTCTTCTTCTTCTTCTTCTTCTTCTTCTTCTTCTTCAGTGTGCAGACTCTAATCTGGGAGAACCAGGTTTGATTCCCCACTCCTCCACTTGCAGCTGCTGGATGACCTTGGGCAAGCCGTAGTTCTGATAAGAGCTGTTCTTGGAAAGGGGCAGTTTCTGTCAGAGCTCTTTCAGCCCCACCTACCTCACAGGGTGTCTGTTGTGGGGAGGGGAAGGGAAAGGAGTTTGTAAGCCGCTCTGAGACACCTTTGGGTAGTGAAGGGCCGGGTATAAATCCAATCTCTTCTCTTCTTCTTCTTTGCTCTGGAGCCGTCCTTCCTGAGCCAAGACCAAAATCTGTGAGCCACAGGCTAAAGCACTGTGAGCTAGCTCACACTAAACTCAGCTTAGAGGGCACACTGGTCCCCCCTGAGTGGGGACGGCTTTCACGCGCCCAGCCACCCAAGGCAAACGTGGCGGCCTGCCCGACTTTGCTAAACTAATTTAAGCCGCGTTGGGGGTTGAGAAACGCTTCATCTTTATTCAAAGGGTACAGACGAACCCTTCAGTTAGTTCATACCGGAGTCTCTTTGAAGTTCCTTTGTTGACGACGGCAGTTTTTCCCCCTGGAACTGTTTCCCCGGGAGACTGCTTGTCTGTCAAGGGGCTCCCTAACAGTCTTCCTTAGGGAGATCGTGCTTCTCTGTCTCCATCTTGCAGGTGAGAGCGGGGAGGGGGGGGGATCTTGTCCAAGGCCACATCAGGGCCACTGTGGCCACAGCCAGATCTGAAGGGTCAAACCACCCTCTGGCCCCGTTATTACCTGCTCTCTCTCCGTTTAAGAGGGCGCCACCACCATCCAGCCCCTGCCGAAGCAGAGAGCAAACTCTCCAGACGGCAGAAGGCAAGAGAGGATGGCGTCAGTGTCCCCTCTAAGATGAGTTAGTGTGGGCCAGATCACAGTTCTTTAGCCTCCGGCTCACCCATTTTTGTCTCAGCTCAGGAAGGGATGGCTCCAGAGCAAGCGAATTGATGTGGTACCCAAATCGCTCGCTCACAGCTTGAATGCCAGCAGCTCACAAAGTAGGATTTTTGCACACAAAACCCCACAGCTTAGAGGGAGCATTGGATTAATTGCTCTGCATCTCCCTGCTGCAGCGCACTCCTCAGCACTTCCTGCCCCACGAAGGCTTCTGAGATTGCGTCGAGCTTGCCTTTGACACACATGCAAAGTCCCCTGGCTTGGGCCCATCGCGAAGACCCCCCCCCGACCCCCCCCCTCGTCGCCTCCCCCAGGAGTGACTGTCCTCCACAAAATCCACTAACAGCTGTCCATCACTGGTTGCCATGGAAACTGGTTGCACAGGCCATTCGTAGCTCCCACCCACCCAACAGACAGGGACTCTGCACTCAACTCATGGGGAGCCACATCGCAAGAGCTGCAAGCTGCAGAGGCCAGACTGATATGACTTTTCTCACCCTGTGTTGGGTATTACAAGGTGAAAACACTCAGTATATCTGGGGTTAAATGTTTGTTTGTGTTGCTCACAGGAAGTCACATGTTTTTCATGTAACCAATGCTGTTTTAGGAATAGAAGCCCAGGAATTTTGTCACTGATCTAGGAGTTTGATTGGAACTAAAGTGTCACAGTGTTTTTGCATTTTATGGCTCCTCTTCCGGTCTTTGTTTTGCTGTTCTCAAGAAGAAGAAGAGAGAGAAGTCATAACTCTCTTCTAGTTTTGTCTTTTGTAGTGTAAGGATGTAGCCGATTAGCTCCGTTGTTATTTTCATCCCCAGTTACCCTTTCCCTATGCTAGAATTTAGTAAAAAAAACTTTCTATTTTAATCACACATGGACTCTGTGTCTGAATTATTTTACTATGGCACTGCTAAGCTATTTTATCTCTGCTAAATACAATTTTTAAATATCTCACAAACCCAACACCCTGCCTCTGTTGGTGGCGCCAAACCTGTCCGATTTTCCAGGCAATGCCAGGACACCCCGATCCAGAGTCCCTTCCATGCTCTCCTGCTCACATGGAGCCCCATTCCCATCAGTGGAGGAGGGCATTAAAGAAAATGTGTGTGCAAATGTGCTTCCCTGTGGAACTTAATGCTGAGAAGGAGGAGGAGGAGGAGGAGGAGATTGGGTTTATACCCCGCCCTTCATTCGGAGTCTCAGAGGGGCTGACAAACTCCTTTCCCTTCCCCTCCCCACCACAGACACCCTGTGAGGTAGGTGGGGCTGAGAGAGCTCTGAGAGAAACGGCTCTTTTGGGAACAGCCCTGACAGAACTATGGATTGGCCAAGGTCATCCAGCAGCTGTAAGTGGAAGAGTGGAGAATCAAACCCAGTGCTCCCAGATTAGTGTCCGCGCACTTAACCACTACACCAAACTGGCCTGGCGCCACAGAATCTCTTGCTTCTGTCTTCATTCCCACCATTCCTTCACTACCGCATTTGAAAACGTCCAACAGCACAGCCCGCTTGTTACAAACCGCACGCAACGCTTCTGTCCCATTTAGTTTACTCACGCATGTGCAAGGATACTGATGGTGGTGCACAGGGCTATTTTGGGGCAGGAACGCACAGAAACAGAGTTCCGGCTGGCTCCCGAGTTGGCCACACCCAGCAGGAACTCATTAGCATAATAGGCCACACCCAACAGCAGAAACTCATTAGGATTGGCTACATTAGGGGTGTGTGGCCTAACATGCAAAGGAGTTCCTGCTACAAAAAAGCCCTGGGTTTTGACAACAAACAAGATAAACAGAATAAGAATCAAAAGGTGGGTGTGGCTGGATGACCACATTTCTGGTAACATGGGGGTGTGGCCTAATATGCTAATGTGCGGTGCTGTCAGGGTGTGGCCCAATATGCTAATATTTCTGCTGTTGGGTGTGGCCTATTATGCTAATGAGTTCCTGCTGGGCTTTTTCTACAAAAAAGCGCTGTGCGATTTTGCAAACCGCTCTGTTTGGGGAATCGCGTTCCTGTTTCTTACAAGAGGTGGTTGGTGCTGCCGTCTCGGGAAATGCCGTCAAGACAGAACAGAGGGCTCACACACCCAGAGTCTGAGCATTGCACCCACGGTAGCTATCAGCTTCTAGTGTGTAAATTACAAAACTGAACCACGCAAGGGCAAACAGAGGCACCTGCGCTTGTAATAGATCTCGGCTTACGCTCTATACCGGGTGGGGATTTGGGAAGGCTGGGGCAACTGGACTCGCAATGTGACTGAGACTCGTACGTTAGGAAAACTACAACTCCATTAGCAATGCAGGGATGACTCTGCCTTGGAGGAGCCTACCTCCTGTCTCTGCATGAGTCACTGCTCTGAGCAAGCCTTCTAATGGGAAGGAGGCACAGTCTCTTGCAGAGACTCGACAGGCACCCTCCGCACAGTAGCTACTTCTGCTGTTTCCACCATATCAGGAGTGATCTCGTCACACCTGATGCAGAGATGAGGCAAGGCTACCCACAACTCTAATGGTAGCTTGTTAGGGGCCACAAGGCGGAGCGGTGACTCATACAGGGATACAGCAGGCAGCTTCCTCTGCAGAAGGATATTTTAGGCTCACCAAAGCGTAAAATTATTTGTCTTGTGTTCCCGTGGCACGTTGGTTTGCCGTAGCACAAAAACGAGAAGCTCACAGAGTAGATTAAGAAGACGCTAGGGAAGAAGGCGGGGCGGCAATTTCCACAAATGGATCCCCGGTGGATTTTCTCACCTCCAGGGCTTCTGGTGGCTTCGGTCTCTCCCGAGTAGCCCCGGCTCTCTGCGCCCTCGCTGGCGTATTCGCTGCCACTGGGAGCCATTCTGGCCTCGGCAGGTTTGCGGTTAACTTGTGGATAATTTCCCCGACTGGAAGCAACGGCTGCTGGCTCATTGCCTGGAAGAACAGCACACACACACACACACACACACAAAGGCCCACAGCGATGAAGTTACTTTCCCGTTGTCACGGCAAATGCAAACAAATCACATTTCCAGCAATTAAGACTGCAAACAGGAGAAAATCTTAGAAAGCTGCAGAGCTTGGGAAGATCGAGGATCGGCTGTGGGGGGGGGAGACAGTCTGCAAGCTCCCCCTGGCCATTGGCTGGGATGCTGTGACATCACGGAGTATCCACGGGCATCCTAACTGAGGGAGAGAATGGGGCAGGACAGAAAGGCTTGACTGTGGAGGGCAAGTCCCATACATCAGGGACAGGAGAGAGCAGGCGGGGAACTGGAAGGATGGTCGGCTGTGGAGCGAGAAGTCATAGAAAGAGAAGAGAGAAGAGATTGGATTTATACCCCGCCCTTCACTTGGTGTCTCAGAGCGGCTTCCAAACTCCTTTCCCTTTCCCCTCCCCACAACAGACACCCTGTGAGGTGGGCGGGGCTGAGAGAGCTCTGACAGAAACTGCTCTTTTTCAAGGACAGCTCTGACAGAGCTTGTGACTGACCCAAGGTCACATCAGCAGGTGCAAGTGGAGGAGTGGGGAATCAAACCCGGTTCTCCCAGATTAGAGTCCGCACACTTAACCACTACACCAAACTGTATTGGATATTGGATTTATACCCCACCCTTCCCTCGGAGTCTCAAAGCGGTTTACAATCTCCTTTCCCTTCCCCTCCCTACAACAGACACCCTGTGAGGTAGGTGGGGCTGAGAGAGCTCTTTTGAGGACAGATCTTGAGAGAACGTGACTGACCCAAGGTGGAGGAGGAGAAGGAGGAGATTGGATTTATACCCCACCCTTCACTTGGAGTCTCAGAGCGGCTTACAATCTTCTTTCCCTTCCCTCCCCACAACGGACACCCTGAGAGGTAGGTGGGGCTGAGAGAGCTCTGAGATAACTGCTCTTGAGAGAACTTGTGACTGACCCAAGGTGGAGGAGGAGGAGATTGGATTTATACCCCACCCTTCACTTGGAGTCTCAGAGCGGCTTACAATCTCCTTTCCCTCCCCTCCCCACAACGGACACCCTGAGAGTTAGATGGGGCTGAGAGAGCTCTCTCGAGGACTGCTCTTGTGAGAACAGCTCTGAGAAAACTTTTGGCTGACCCCAGGTCACACCAGCAGCTGCACGTGCAGGAGTGGGGACTCAAACCCAGTTCTCCCAGATTAGAGTCCGCACTCCTAACCACGACACCAAACTGGCTCCAGGACAAAGAACTCAATTTCCAGTTTGCAAAAAGTTCGCTATCTGATCACCTTGAGGCGATTCTCAACTCATCCCAGGTGACCAGCTGAATGGATATTTTTGCATCCTGTATCGGAAGGAACACGGGATTTGTGTGTCTGTCTCCAGAGGAGGAGGTTTAGCGCTCTCTTCCTGACAGCTGAAATCCAGGGCAAAATCACGACCTGTCAGTGCCTGCGTGGATCATCTGCCGCTCTAACGAGCAAACTAATGACTGTTCTGACAGCATCAATCAGCAAGCCAACGCCTGGCGCTCCCCGGGGTGTCAGGCAATTCGGGAGGATTTACAGACTGATCCAGATTTTAATAATGGGGCAATCACTCCACATTAGGGCCTCCTGATGAGGTGCTGACAGCCGCTCTGAATTACAGCGGAAGATCCCGTTCTCCTGGCCAAATGGCAGCGGGGAGAACTGGGGGGAGGGGCCGTTGAGCACCAATTTCGGCTCCTAGAAAGGGAGAGATAATGAGGCTTAAGAGAGCTGCGAAATCAGCCCTGGACCCAGGGAACCGGCCCCTGAATCTCTAGCAGGCGCAGACGTGAGAAGATTCCCTCGATGGCCCGGGAATTCTCTCTTCCATTTTGCATTATGTTATTTTTAAGAATTCCTGGCTGGGGTGATATTTGCATTTTTAAAAATGTCTCTCAGTCGTCAGCCCACAGGCTGAGACGTAATTCCGGAGCTGTTAAAGGTAAAGGTAAAGGTTCCCTTGCTCGAAAGCCAGTCCGACTCTAGGTTTGCAGTGCTCACCTCCGTTTCAAAGCCGAAGAGCCAGCGCTGTCTGAAGACGTTTCCGTGGTCATGTGGCCGGCATGACTAAACACCAAGGTGCACGGAACGCTGTTACCTTCCCACCGAAGTGGTACCTATTTATCTACTTGCAATTTCTTGCTTTCAAACTGCTAGGTTGGCAGGAGCTGGAACTAGAGATGGGAGCTCACTCCATCATGCGGCACCCGGGACTCGAACTGCTGAACTACAGACCTTCCACAGCCTGCAGTTCAGTGTCTTAACCACTTGAGCCACCGCAGCTGTTACCTAACCCTGAAAAGTGAACAGTGAAGGATCCCAGGGATGAAGATCTGAATCAATCAAATTAAGCCAAACTTGCTGTTTTCTTCCCCGGCAACTTTAAAAAGGCCGGGTGGACGAGAGCTGTGCAAACCTAGAGAGACGCGGTTCTAGATGTACCCCAGCCGATTGTAGAGGGCACCATAACGGGGAGAAGCAGTACTTCAAGAGGGTCCCGTTTTTGAATATTTCATCTATCCCCTTCTGTCCTCGTCTTCCGCCCGCGGGTGAAGACTTTTTTTGTTTCGTTTGGTCTTCCCTCAACGATCCCTCCTTCCTAACCAATGTTTTAATTGCTCGTTTTCTATTTTGTATGTATTTCAACACCTTTTTTGAAACTGCTTCACTACTGGCGTGGGAATTAATTCTAATGGTTTAAAAATATGATTCTATCACTGTTGTTTCAATTGGTTAGCCACCTTGGTGGACCCCGTAAGGTCACAGAGATGGAATATCAGTTTTGTAAATATATATATTTTTTAAAACGAGGAGTGGACTGGGCTGGAAGTTTTCTCCCGACAACAAGAAGAAGAAGAAGAGGAGGAGGAGGAGGAGGAGGAAGAAGAAGAAGAGGAAGAAGAGGAGGAGGAGGAGGAGCAGGAAGAAGAAGAGGAGGAGGAGGAGGAGGAGATTGGATTTATACCCCGCCCTTCCCTCGGAGTCTCAGAGCGGCTTACAAACTCCATTCCCTTCCCCTTCCCACAACAGGCACCCTGTGAGGTAGGTGGGGCTGAGAGAGCTCTTTCCAGAACAGAGCCAGTTTGGTGTAGTGGTTAAGTGTGCGGACTCTAATCTGGGAGAACCGGGTTTGATTCCCCACTCCTCGACTTGCACCTGCTGATGTGACCTTGGGTCAGTCACAAGCTCTGGCACAGCTGTCCTTGAAAAAAGAGCAGTTTGTGTCAGAGTTCTCTCAGTCCCACCTACCTCACAGGGTGTCTGTTGTGGGGAGGGGAAGGGAAAGGAGGTTGTAAGCCGCTCTGAGACACCAAGTGAAGGGCGGGGTATAAATCCAATCTCTTCTTCTTCTTCTTCTTCCTTGAAAGAACAGCTCTGACAGAACTGTGGCTGACCCAAGGTCACCCAGCAGCTGCAAGTGGAAGAGGAGTGGGGATTCAAACCCGGTTCTCCCAGATTAGAGTCCACACACTTAACCACTACACCAAACTGGCTGAAAAAAGACAAAAAAGACAACAGGGAGAAAGGGTCTAGCCCAGCCTGCTCCTCTTTTTATTTTATTTTTAAAATGGACATGCCGTCTTTGTGACCTTACAAGGGCCACCAACGTGCACTCCCTGCAGGGCTAGACTTCTACTTGCAAGGAATCTTTGGCATTCTTAAGTGCCATCCCTAAGCGACCATTAACTTTAGCTAGACAGGAGGAGCCTCCGAGTTTAAAAGAACAGCAGCATTTTCTGCCCAACACAGGCTTGTATCCCACCAGCTCGCTCAGCCAAGAGGCCCTTGGGTCAGAGGAATGCTCCTCGGGCCGAAAGAAGGCTTCGGTTGGCTGACAGAAAGGCTGGGACACGATCCACCAACTGTGGCTTGCCAGAGACTCAGATAACACCGACTCAGTTAATCTACCTGAAGTTTGTCTGGCCCAGGGGAACGAAAAAATTGGGGGGGGGGGGGGAGCCAGTTTGTGACTCAGTGTGGTCCCGTTTCTGAAACGTACTCATTCTGACAGCGCACGGCAAAGGAGAGGAAAGGCTCCATCCCAGGATAAGTACCGTCGTGGGAAAGCGGCATTCTCTTTGTCTCCCTTCCTAGGGAGTCCCTCCGGATGTCAAAATCCCTCCCTGATCGGAGCATGGCCCCCTTAGGCGCATTCCCTCATAGGGACCAGTCACTTGACTAGTTGAGAACAGTGTTCCCTCTAAGCTGAGTCAGTGTGAGCTAGCTCACAGGTTTTTTAGCCTCCGGCTCACACATTTTTTGTCTCGGCTCAGGAAGGGATGGCTCCAGAGCGAACTAATTTACACAGCAGCCAAATGGCTCGCTCACAACTTGAATGCCAGTCGCTCACAAAGTAGAACGTTTGCTCACAAGACTCCACAGCTTAGAGGGAGCATAACGATCCCCTGCTGCAGGAAGAGACGCCACTCACCATAGGATTCCTGCTCGACGGGGGGAGGAGGAGGAGGAGGAGGAGGCGCTTCACCTTGACCTGGGGAACAAGAAGAAGAAGAGATCGGATTTATCCCCTGCCCTTCGCTACCCGAAGGAGTCTCAGAGTGGCTTACAAACTCCTTTCCCTTCCCCTCCCCTGTGAGGTAGGCAGGGCTGAGAGAGCTCTCTGGAGGACTGCCCTTGAGAGAACGGCTCTGAGAGAACTTGTGACTGACTCAAGGTCTCCCCAGCAGCTGCACATGGAGGAGTGGGGAATCAAACCCGGTTCTCCCAGGTCAGAGTCCGTGCTCTTAACCACGACACCAAACTGGCTCTCGAAGGAGGAGGAGGTGAAGATTGGATTTATACCCCGCCCTTCACTGCCCGAAGGAGTCTCAGAGTGGTTTACAAACTCCTTTCCCTTCCCCTCCCCTGTGAGGTACGCGGGGCTGAGAGAGCTCTCTGGAGGACTGCCCTTGAGAGAATGGCTCTGAGAGAACTTGTGACTGACCCAAGGTCTCCCCAGCAGCTGCGAGTGGAGGAGTGGGGAATCGAACCCGGTTCTCCCAGGTCAGAGTCCGCGCTCTTAACCACGATGCCAAACCGGCTTAACGTTTTGTAACCGCTACAAAACAAGGGACGGTTTACAGAGCGAAACAGAAGTGCGGTCTAAGAAGCGTTCTTGTGTTTGGCCGGGACTTGGGTGGGGAGCCACACGGCTCACGGGGCTTTGGTTCCCAGGCCAGCCCGATCTCACCAGATCTCAGAAGCTAAGCAGGCCTGGTCCTGGTTGGTACTTGGACGGGCGACCCCCAAGGAAGCCCAGGGCTGTTCTGCAGAGGCAGGCAATGGCAACCCCCCTCCCTTCCCCTCCCGCCTCGGGAACCCTACAGGGTTGCCGTAAGACAGCTGTGGCCTGAGAGGGTCCCGTCCTCCCCCTGCTCTAACCTCCGCAGGTCAGTCACCCGACCCAGTGCCCCCTTTTTGCCTACCGGGGGTCTGCCGGCGTGAGTACGGCTTCGGGTCCTGAGCGGGCGGGGCCGACTCGCCGGGCGCGGCTTGCGGCTTGCCCTTGCTGATGGGCATGGGGTCCGGGAGCATCTGCTTCGGCAGGCCTTTGAAGAACCAAGCCCCGGAGCGCTTCCACACCTGGGGACAGAGACGGCGGATAGAGGCACTCCTGGCTCACAGGCCTCCAACCCGCCTCCACGCTTCGCAGGGATCAGAGGGAAGAACAGCTCCCCCCCCCTCCCGCGGGACTGCCTTCTGAAGAGGGGCAGAGGGTCGGCAGCCCCAGCGATGTTGCCTGCCCCACATACCCCAGGGGCAGCAGGAGGGGGACCCCAGGTTGCTCGGGGCCAGGCCAGCCACCAAGAGTGCCTTGACTGAGGGCCCCCGAACCCGTGGCGCTGCCGTGGCCCCCTTTTAGAAACACCTCCCCACACGTGGAAAAAGAGCACATGAAGAAGAAGAAGAGAAGATTGGATTTATTCCCCGCCCTTCACTGCCCGAAGGAGTCTCAGTGCAGCTTACAAACTCCCTTTCCTTCCCCTCCCCACAACAGACACCCTGGGAGGGAGGTGGGGCTGAGAGAGCGCTGACAGAAACCACTGCTTTTCAAGAACAGCTCTGAGAGAACTACAGCTTGCCCAAGGTCATCCAGCAGCTGTAAGTGGAAGAGTGGGGAATCAAACCCGGTTCTCCCAGATTAGAGTCCGCTCACTTAGCCACTGCACCAAACTGTTACAACACCAAACAAAGAAGAAGGGGAGGAGGGGGAGGAGATTGGATTTATACCCCGCACTTCAGTACCCGAAGGAGTCTCAGAGCTGCTTACAATCTCCTTTCCCTTCTCCTCCCCACAACAGACACCCTGTGAGGGACGTGGGGCTGAGAGAGCGCTCCTGAGAACTGCCCTTGAGAGAACAGCTGAGAGAAGGAGAAGAAGAAAAGATTGGTTTTATACCCCACCCTTCACTACCCAAAGGAGTCTCAGAGTGGCTTACAAACCCCTTTCCCTTCCCCCTCCCAACAACAGACACCCTGGGAGGTAGGCGGGGCTGAGAGAGCTCCTTCGAGAACTGCTCATGAGAGAACAGCTCTGAGAGAACTTGTGACTGACTCAAGGTCACACCAGCAGCTGCATGTGGAGCAGAGAAGAAGAAGAGGAGATTGGGTTTATACCCCGCCCTTCACTACCTGAAGGAGTCTCAGAGCAGCTTACAATCTCCTTTCCCTCCCCCCCCCCCACAACGGACAACCTGGGAGGCAGGTGGGGCTGAGAGAGCTCTCTTGAGAACTGCTCTTGAGAGAACAGCTCTGAGTGAACTTGTGACTGACCCGAGGTCACACCAACAGCTGCATGTGGAGGAGTGGGGCATCAAACCCAGTTCTCCCAGATTAGAGTCCACGCTCCTAACCACTATGCCAAACTGGGACCCGGCTAGGCTGGAATGCTTCCCCATCATTTATATTATTTTATTTACTTCTCTTATACCTCGCCTTTCTCCCCTATAGGGACCCAAAACAGCTGATCTCACTCTCACCTCCTCCGTTTTATCCCCACAACAGCCCTGTGAGGTAGATGGGGCCGAGGGTGTGTGCCTGGCCCAAGGTCACCCAGCGAGCTTCCACGGCAAAGCAGGGATTCGAACCCGAGTCTCCCGGATCCTAGTTTGACCCTCTAACCACTACAACACACCGGCTCTCAGGTGTCTCGCAGGCGGTCTGCTTCTGGCTCCCCGTTAGTTTCTAGATAGCGTGAGTTGATTTCTTAGGGGGGCATCTGGTGAGGGGGAGCCAATAATCCAGATTTCGGGACAGGGGGTTGGCCTTTAACTCTCTCGACGAAACCTCCACCGACCCCCCGGGGCCCCAGTGGAGAAACACAAAGCCAGCCAACTGTCATACCCGCAAGGCACCTCCGGAGCCCCAGCTTGTCTTCAGGGCCCCCGCGGGGTAAGAACAAGCCCACCAGACCTCCCTTCTCAGCTGCGGCTCAAAGGAAGGCAGCGAACTTCCGAGCGAGAGTCTCCCCGACACAACTCTCTCGACGAAACCTCCACCGACCCCCCGGGGCCCCAGTGGAGAAACACAAAGCCAGCCAACTGTCATACCCGCAAGGCACCTCCGGAGCCCCAGCTTGTCTTCAGGGCCCCCGCGGGGTAAGAACAAGCCCACCAGACCTCCCTTCTCAGCTGCGGCTCAAAGGAAGGCAGCGATCCCTCGGCGGGGTCACTGACACGCCGCTGCGTTTATCAGCGCCAGGGCTGCAGGGGAGGCCGGCCTTCCCGCAGCTATCGAACCAAGACAGGAGCCCCGCCCCGCCAGTCCGTACACGCTCGGCTGCAGGACTGACCCTTGTCAAACTTCCCAGGGGATGGGGGGTAGCTCTGCTTTGCAGCGAGGGAGCTACAGGTCCGGTCCCCGGGGGCACCGCCGGTTAAAGCATCTCAGGTCCCGGGAGAAACCTTGGAGAGCCACTGATGTGAGGGAAATGGACTGAGGCTCGGGCAGCTTCCTCTTTGGGGCGTGCGGAAAGCTTTGCAGGAGAGCCCTGCCTTTCCACCTTTGGCTCAGTGGCAGAGCATCTGCCTGGCATGCCGAAGATCCCGGGTTCAACCCCAGCATCTCCAGTCATAAGGACCAGGTCGCAGGTGATGCGAAAGACCACAGCTTGAAACCCTGGAGAGCCGCTGCCAGGCTGAGGAAACGATACTGACTTCGATGGACCGAGGGTCTGATTCAGTATAAGGCAACTTCATTTATTATAGGATGGGCCGTGGCTCAGTGGTAGAGCATCTGCCTGGCATGCAGAAGGCCCCAGGTTCAGTCCCTGGCATCCCCAGTTCAAAGGACCAGGCAGGAGGAGATGATGTGAAAGACCTCAGCCTGAGACCCTGGAGAGCTGTAAGGAGGGGCTGTGGCTCAGTGGTAGAGTCTCTGCTTGGCATGCAGAAGGTCCTGGGTTCAGTCCCCGGCATCTCCAGTTAGAACAGGACCAGGCAGGAGGTGATGTGAAAGACCTCAGCCTGAGACCCTGGAGAGCTGTAAAGAGGGGCCGTGGCTCAGTGGCAGAGCCTCTGCTTGGCATGCAGAAGGTCCCAGGTTCAGTCCCCGGCATCCCCAGTTCAAAGGACCAGGCAGGAGGTGATGTGAAAGACCTCCACCTGAGACCCTGGAGAGCTGTAAAGAGGGGGCTCAGTGGCAGAGCCTCTGCTTGGCATGCAGAAGGTCCCAGGTTCAATCCCCGGCATCCCCAGTTAAAAGGACCAGGCAGAAGGTGATGGGACTTTGATACATTTAACTTGTGAAATATTAAAATAGATGTTGTATTGCATTTTTGTAGAACTTTATGTAGCCCAAGCTCGGCTTAGTTTGTACAGTATATTGTGTTATCCTATGAATACATTTTTGTATTGCTGCAACCAGTGTTCCCTCTAAGCTGAGTTAGTGTGAGCTAGCTCACAGTTTTTTAGCCTCCGGCTCACACATTTTTGTCTTGGCTCAGGAAGGAGGGCTCCAGAGCAAACTAATTGATGCCGTAGCCAAATCGCTCGCTCACAACTTTAATGCCAGTAGCTCACAAAGTAGAATTTCTGCTCACAAGACTCTACAGCTTAGAGGGAGCATTGGCTGCAACCTGCATTGTCTATCTGGTCAGACAGGTCAACAACGAAAATGGACTGGGTCAGTGTGGAAAGGAGGGGGGCACCAAGATGGGTCAGTGCTTAGGGCACCAGGGAGCCTTCATCCGCCCCTGGGGCAGAGACTTCCGTTACGGTGCTGAACTAGTTCGGTTTTGCAGAAACTGCCAGGTCTGTGGCTTCGGAAAACTATTCTATCCTCCCCTGCTGCCCTCTCCCCCTACCCTGTGCCCTGAGCCTAGGTGAGTGAAAGACTCCCAGCCCAAGCCCTTTCACAAGGACTCGTGCAGAGAGACACACGGAAGCCTCCCCCCCCCAAGCCGTCCCCAACTGACCTCTCTCTGTTCGATGCAAATCTTGCACAGCCAGATGGAATGGGGGCGATTGTTGGTCGCCTGGATGCCGCATTTGGTGCAGACGTTCTGTGTGTCCAAAAAGAAAGACGCCGACACGGTGAGAAACCCCAGCTCCCGAAACAGAAGCAGACTCCGGCGGTGCTCCGTAGAGACCAGGCCAGTGTTTATCCCACCACCCCCAACGCTAAAAAAGCTGTGTCCCAAGAACCTCTGAGCAGGCCGCTAACGACACACACCGGAATGCCCGCGGCCAAAGGAAAAGGTGCTGAGCCCTCTCGCTGCCAGCTGATGGGGGATGGGGCTTTTCACACGCCACCTGTGCCGCGCCACCCAGGCGCCCCCAGCCACCCTCTCCCGGGAACCGGTTTCAAGCTTAATTAAGAATGTTATCCTTGTGCTGAACACTTGGCCAGGTGGCGCTCGCTTTCAGGATGGCAATGGAGCAGGGCTGTCTGGTGTGTGAAGGACAGCCTCCCTTTGTGGAGGCAGGGGTCATTCCCTGCGGGAGCACACAGGAGCGGAGCGCCGGCAGTAAGGAACCCAGGGGGCGAGCACATGCAACAAGCCCCTCCCCCTGATCCCAGCAGACCTCAGTCGGGCCACGAGGAGCAAGAAGCAGCTAGGTACATTGCAGAGCCCCACACCGGCCCGCCTTCAGGTACCAGCTCTCCCTCCTCTGTGAGGGCAGATCTGCGCGTTTCCCCCCCACCCCCATAGCTAGCAATTCAAAACAGTCCAGTGGCACCTTTAAGACCAAGTTTTATTCAGGCACAAGCTCTCCCTCCTCTGTGAGGGCAGATCTCCGCGTTCCCCCCCCCCCATAGCTAGCAATCCAAAACAGTCCAGTGGCACCTTTAAGACCAAGTTTTATTCAGGTACAAGCTCTCCCTCCTCTGCAAGGACAGATCTGCACGTCCCCCCCCCCAATAGCGAGCAATCCAAAACAGTCCAGTGGAGCCTCAGCGGTGGGTGTTGCCTTCTGACACACTTCCGGTGAGGTCAGGGGGTGTGGCCTATGCAAATGAGTTATGCTAATGAGTTGTGCTAATGAGCTCCTGCACCTTTTTTCCTACGAAATGACCCCTGTGTGGAGGGATGTGGGCAGAGGCCCGGGTAAGAAAGGGGCATGCTCTCCCCAAAGCATTAAAACTGGAACAGGGAGATCTGACTGCTAACACAAGTTGAATGTACCGATTTGGGGCAGGAGGGCAGTGCGGATGGCCCCACGCCCGAGTGGTTGGGGGACTCGCCTTGGGAAGGCCGGGGATTCAGTTTAAAGGCAAGGGGCTTCACGCACAGGCACACACCCCAACATTCTCAGGCCTGCAGTTGCAGCTCCCGATACCACTTGCCGTCGCCTGGGATTCCTTATTTTCACCTTTTCCTCACAATAGATGCCTCCCCATAAGAAGCATGAATTAGTTCTTATAAAGAAGAAGAAGAGATTGGATTTATGCCCCGCCCTTCACTTGGAGTCTCAGAGCGGCTTACAAACTCCTTTCCCTTCCCCTCCCCACAACAGACACCCTGTGAGGTGGGTGGGGCTGAGAGAGCTCTGACACAAACGGCTCTTTTTCAAGAACAGCTGTGCCAGAGCTTGTGACTGACCCAAGGTCACATCAGCAGGTGCAAGTGGAGGAGTGGGGGGAATCAAACCCGGTTCTCCCAGATTAGAGCCCGCACACTTAACCACTACACCAAACTGGTTCTCTATCACTATTATATTATAGGGAAATTATGATGGAGAAGAAGAGATTGGATTCATACCCCGCCCTTCGCTACCCAGAGGAGTCTCAGAGCGGCTTACAAACTCCTCTCCCTTCCCCTCCCCACAACAGACACCCTGGGAGGTAGGTGGGGCTGAGAGAGCTCTCTCGAGGACTGCCCTTGAGAAAACAGCCCCAAGAGAACTTGTGGCTGACCCAAGGTCACACCAGCTGGCTGCATGTGGAAGGAGTGGGGAATCAAAGCCGATTCTCCCAGATTAGAGTCCGCGCTCCTAGCCACCACGCCGAACTGGCTCTCATGATGTCCACGGCATGTGCAAAACCCTGTACCCGAACTGCACAGCCTGCAAGCGTGAACCAAACAAATCTACAAATCCGACAGTGGGATGCGGAGAACCTAAATTGGTGCCGCAAATGTCAAGGGATCTGGGGAAAAAGAAATGAGATGGGAACTCTTTAGTCATGCCTAGTATTTATTATTATTTAAACGAGACGTCACGGGCGAGGTCCCTGCCTTGAAGTTCACAACAGCTAGGGTTGGCAACCTCCAGGCGGGATCTGGAGATCTCCTGCGGTTGCACCTGATCTCCAGACGACAGAGACCTGTTTCCCTGGATAAAACGGCTGCTTTGGAGGGCGGAGTCTATGGTCTTGGACCCTGCTGGGCCCCCTCCCCTCCCCAAACCCCACCCTCCCCAGGGTCCACCCACAAATCTCCAGGAACTTCCCAAGCTGGAGCTTGCAACCCTAACCAAACTCCTTTCCCTTCCCCTCCTCACAACAGACACCCTGTGAGGTAGGTAGGTCTGAGAGAACTCTTGACAGAAACGGCTCTCTTTCCAAGAATAGCTCTGACAGAACTGTGGCTTGCCCAAGGTCATCCAGCAGCTGCAAGTGGAGGAGTGGGGAATCAAACCCGGTTCTCCCAGATTAGAGTCCGCGCACTTAACCACTACACCGAAAGAAAGTGTTGTCTGCACGGTGGTGGTGGGGGAAACCCAATTCTTCAGATTCAGAAGGAGCGTTTAAAAATAAAAGAAATACCCTCGGGAAGCAAAAGGCTTCAGAGCTCCAAAGAAGAAGAAGAGAAGAAAAGATTGGATTTACACCCCACCCTTCACTAACCAAAGGAGTCTCAGAGCGGCTTACAAACTCTTTTTCCTTCCCCTCCCCACAACAGACACCCTGTGAGGTAGGTGGGACTGAGAGAGCTCTGACAGAACTGTCCTTGAGAGAACAACTCTGACAGAACTCTGGCTTGCCCAAGGTCATCCAGCAGCTGCAAGTGGAGGAGTGGGGAATCAAACCCGGTTCTCCGAGATTAGAGTCCGCGCACTTAACCACTACGCCAAACTGGCTCTGAACTCTTTCCTGCTGGGGATCGGTCAGGACAGAGTCGGAGGTCCGCTCACTGAGTCTGATGGGCCTGGTTGTTGCAACTCTACTTTTCTGGCCAAGGCAGGGGAGGGATGTGGATGGAGGCGGTGGGTGGGAGGGGGCTTCCGACCTTTTTGCAGTCTTCACACACCACGCACGCAGACCCCAGGCGGCCAAACTGCTCCCCGCACAGGATGCAGCGGTTCACTCCGTCGCCCGCCACGTTCCGGCGCATGTCATCCAGGCGGTTCATGAGACGCCTAAAGAGAGACGAGAAATGGCACCCCAAGGTTAGTGAGTGCTTGTTAGTTAATTAGGCTGCGTATCAGGAGGACTTTCCTGAGAGTCCGTTCAAACACAGTGTCCTTGCTGACGTGGTACAGTCCTCTCCTGGGACGTGGAAGAGGTGGCTCATGCGTAAGCACCTCAGCATCAGCATTGTGGGAACAGTCGGTGTCACAAGAGGGGGATGGGAAGCCGAGGTGCCAGTATGCATATCCACAACCCTGAAATTAAATGGTGTGAGCAGGAACACGGCACTGCACATCTCACCAGGCGGCTGGGCCCCACGGCCAACTGGCTCCTGCGCGCCAAGAATTGCCATCTGAATCCACGTAAAGAGAGGAAGAAATATGTCACGGCTATTCTAGGGCACACTGGCAGGGACCGTTTGCATAAATTAGCTCAGCAGTCCATACAGCGACACTATACGGCAGGCCAATATTGTTATTCCCACACTGCAGATTGGGGAGGGGGCTGAGTTAGGGTTAGGGGCTGTGAGCAGAGACAGAGAGAGTGACAGAGAGAGAGACAAAGAGCGCACAATTCATGGCAAAGTTCAAAGGCTCACTCTGGAATCCAATAAAGATTCAATGACAGGGAGAAAAGCAATTTTATAGCTCATTAGAGCAACACCAGGACACTGACACTGGCCAATCAACCCCTGCCATCCTTATGTTTTCTTAAGAAAAGGGCTGTGTAGTTTTGGCACATGTAGCTCGTTGTGCATACGTGTATGAGTGTGGGCACTTAAAAATAATTGTATTCAGTCTGAAACAATGGCCAAACAGACTGACCATCCAGTCTCGTAAACAAGAACATGCAATGGAGCTGGGTTCTTCAGAGCACGTGCAAGTGCCTGTCCCTTGCCTGAGTATTCACGTCAACCTCCACACTAAGAAGAAGAAGAAAAGTTGGATTTATACCCCACCTTTCACTCAGAGTTTCAGAGTGGCTTACAGAGTGGCCTTTCCTTTCCCCTCCCCACAACAGACACCCTGTGAGTCAGGTGGGGCTGAAAGAGCTCTGACAGAAACTGCTCTTTTTCAAGAACAGCTCTGAGAGTACTTGTGACTGACGCAGAGAATCCAACACCAAGAAGAAGAAGAAGAAGAAGAAGAAGAAGAAGAAGAAGAAGAAGAAGAAGAAGAAGAAGAAGAAGAAGAAGAAGAAGAAGAAGAAGAAGAAGAAGAAGAGGAGGAGGAGGAGGAGGAGGAGGAGGAGGAAGAGGAGGAAGAGGAGACTGGATTTATACCCCACCCTTCACTTGGAGTCTCAGAGCAGCTTACAAACTCCTTTCCCTTCCCCTCCCCACAACAGACACCCTGTGAGGGAGGTGGGGCTGAGAGAACTCTGACACAAACTGCTCTTTTTCAAGGACAGCTGTGCCAGAGCTTGTGACTGACCCAAGGTCACACCAGCAGCTGCAAGTGGAGGAGTGGGGAATCAAACCCGGTCCTCCCAGATTAGAGTCCGCGCTCCTAACCACTGCACCAAAATGCATTATTTATTCTGCTCCAAGGGAAGGGAGGGGGAGAGCGATTTCTCAGAGCTTTGAGCCCGCGGGAAATTTCAGGCCCTCCTGCCGTGCCTGACCCAAATCCGACAAAGGTGTTAGAACTGCGCAGGCAAGGGATGAAGGGGGAGCTCTGTTCTCACTGGAGTTTCCCCAAAGATCCATGTTCGTGTAACCCTCGGCCCCCACCCCGAACCCTTTTCCTGTATGAAGACTCAGTCTTCACAAGTATAGTAAAGGTAACGGTTCCCTTGCTCGAAAGCCAGTCGAATCCGACTCTAGGGATGCAGTGCTCATCTCCGTTTCAAAGCCGATGAGCCAGCGCTGTCCGAAGACGTTTCCGTGGTCATGTGGCCGGCACGACTAAACACCAAGGCGCATGGAACGCTGTGACCTTCCCACCGAAGGGGTACCTATTTATCTACTTGCAATGTCTTGCTTTCGAACTGCTAGGTTGGCAGGAGCTGGAACTAGAGAGGGGAGCTCACTCTGTCATGCAGCACTCGGGTCTCGAACTGCCGAACTACATACCTTCCACAGCCTGCAGTTCAGCGTCTTAACCACTTGAGCCACCGCAGCTCCCTTCACATACTTCACAAGTATAAGGGCTAGCAAATGAGGGATCCCTGGACCAGACAAATGGAACATCTCTGAGCATGCGCAGAAAGCAGAGATACACGCACTCACATCAGTCTTTACAAGCTGTGTGCAAGCAAAGCTGTGTCCCCCTTCCTGGCAGTCTTCAAGCAGCGGCTGGACAAACACTTGTCAGGAATGCTCTAGGCCAGTTCTGCACTGAGCAGGGGGTTGGACTAGATGATCTCTATGGAGCCTTCCAACTCTGTGATTCTAGGATTCTATGAAAGCATGAGGTTCTTTTGGAGCTTATCGCAGGTCATCCCACAAAGAAATCAGCAGTGGCGGATGAAACGCCCTGCCAAGGAACTAGCCCGCCATGGATGATCTTGCAACAAACCCGGGAAGGCATCTAGGTTGCCTTCTTGCCCGGAATTCATGGGATTCTTCGGCATGGCGTGCAGTGATTGCCACTCGCTTTGGCCGCTCTCGAAGGGGACTGGACCAAGAGGTCCCCAACATTTTTGAGCCTGTGCTCACCTTTGGAATTCTAACACGAGAGGGTGGACATCAGGGGTCATTTCCTGCGGGAGCGCACAGGAGTGGAGCTCCGGCAGTAAAGAGCCCAGGGGGTGGACACATGCAACAAGCCCTGCCCCCTGCTCCCAGCAGCCCTCAGTCAGAGCAAGAAGCAGCCAGGTAAGTTGCAGAGCCCCCCCCCCCGGCCCCCCAGTCCAAAACAGTCCACTGGCACCTTTAAGACCACATTTTATTCAGGTACAAGCTCTCCCTCCTCTGCAAGGACAGATCTGCACGTCCCGTCCCCCCCCCCAATAGCTAGCAATCCAAAAGAGTCCAGTGGAGCCTGAGCAGTGGGTGTTGCCTTCTGACACACTTCCGGTGAGGTCAGGGGGTGTGGCATATGCTAATGAATTATGCTAATGAGTTATGCTAATGAGATCCTGCACCTCTTTTTCTACGAAATGACCCCTGGTGGACACAACCTCAAAATGGCTGCGGCACACACACATGACCAGAGGAAGTCCCAGGGGAGGGGGAAAAGGGGTAATTTGGGAAATAGAGAAGAAAACTGACACAAGAGAAGAGAAGAGAAGAGAAGAGAAGAGAAGAGAAGAGAAGAGAAGAGAAGAGAAGAGAAGAGAAGAGAAGAGAAGAGAAGAGAAGAGAAGAGAAGAGATTGGATTTATACCCCGCCCTTCACTTGGAGTCTCAGAGCAGCTTACAAACTCTTCTCCCTTCCCCTCCCCACAACAGACACCCTGTGAGGTAGGTGGCTCTTGAGAGGACAGCTCTGAGAGAACTATGGCTTGCCCAAGGTCATCCAGCAGCTGCGAGTGGAGGAGTGGGGAATCAAACTCAGCTCTCCCAGAACCACTACACCACACTGGCTCTCTGCCACTGAAGCCACCATCTGCACAGCTACTTGGTTCTCCACTGGCCAACAGGGTTGCCAGGTCTGGGGTGGAAAATACCTGGAGACTTTGGGGGTGGCTCCGGGAGAGGGCGGGGTCTGGTGAGGGGAGGGGCCTCAGCATGATACAGTGCCCTATAGTCCACCCTTCGACGCAGCCATTTTCTCCAGGGGAGCTGCTCTCTATCAGCCGGAGATCAGTTGTAAAAGCGGGAGATCTCCAGGCCCCACCTGGAGGCTGGCAACCCTGGTGGCCAATCAGACGTGGCCACGCCCACTCTCTAAGAAACGTTTGGCGGGCACCAGGTAAGGTATCACAAGCACCACACTGGGGACCCCTGGACCAGACAAATCCATGATTAAATGCAGGGGTCATTTCCTACGGGAGCGCACAGGAGCGGCGCTCCAGCAGTAAAGAGCCCAGGGGGGCGGGCACATGCAACAAGCCCCGCCCCCTGCTCCCAGCAGTCCTCAGTCGGAGCAAGAAGCAGTCAGGAAAGTTGCAGAACCCCCACCCCCATCCCAAAACAGTCCAGTGGCACCTTTAAGACCAAGTTTTATTCAGGTACAAGCTCTCCCTCCTCTGCGAAGACAGATCTGCATGTTCCCTCCCCCCCCCACAATAGCTAGCAATCCAAAACAGTCCAGTGGAGCCTGAGCGGTGGGTGTTGCCTTCGGACACACTTCCGGTGATGTCAGGGTGTGTGGCATATGCAAATAAGTTATGCTAATAAATTATGCTAACGAGCTCCCACACCTCTTTTTCTACGAAATGACCCCTGATTAAATGGAACTTCTAAATAAGAGGCAGTGAAGGTGACAGCATTCCGTGCCCCTCAGCATTTAGTCATGCCGGCCACATGGCCACGGAGAAGTCTTCGGACAGCGCTGGCTCTTCGGCTTGGAAACGGAGATGAGCGCCGCCCCCTAGAGTTGGATTCGACTGGCTTTCGAGCAAGGGAAACCTTGACCCTTTACCTATATCTTCGAATGCCTCTGCTGGGGAAGCCTCCAGCTGTGGGCCTTTCAGGGACAGACATCGGGTCTGGCTTCTATGGATAATAGGAGGATACCGGACCATGAGAACCCCCACTGGCATAGCCCGCCAAGATCTTGCAGTCTTAGGGCCACGAGGAAGCCGACAGGCCTGGCCAGCGCTCTGTGCGAATGAAGGGGGATCACCCAACAAAACGCCCCGGAACACTATGCAGCAGCAGGCTTCTTGGCACCCTCTCAGAACCGGAGGAGAGAGGGAGTCTGGGGCATGGCTTCGGACTTCTTTGCCCCACCCTGTTGGCTAGCTGTAGCAGAATCCACAATGCAAGGCAAGCATCAGGTCCCAGGGCTGAACTCTGCCTTACACACAAGAGGGGACCCACGCCAGTACGGGATCAACGTAGCATCTCTGGGCGGGCAGCAGGCAATGCAGGGCTTTGGTGAGTGGGTGGGGCCAGGGG